ATTTTTCTTCCCTAAAATCTTCCCACTTGTTTTTCGGATCCATCGCAATAAAACTAAGCGCAGCTACCACCCGCAAGCGAGTCCGGTCTCGACATTAAACGCTAACGTGGTTAGGAAAATATTTTTAAAATAATTTAGCACTTAGTCTGTGTTGTTGAAAAAAGCTCCTGAAAAAAAAAATAAAAATAAAAATCAACCTTTAAAAGAGTTTACTTTGTCCCGATAAAAAATACTCTCGGGTTGCGATAAATTTCTGGTCACAGATTTTGTCTCAATTCGCAACTCAGCAACGCGGAAGAATATGGTCGACCGCCTTCAAGAATACATTCTCGGATAAATAAATTGATGGAATTTTATTAAAAATAAAAAACCTCCAGGATATCAGAGCTAATCACCCGAGCTAGTTTTTATTTCCTCAATTTTCTGAAACCAATTTTTTTTTTTTTTTTTTTTTTTTTTTTTTTTTTTTATAATAAATAAATAGAACAAAATGAAGTAAAAAACACATACATGCTAAATAAAAACTATCATACAAGTCATGAATATATTGAACAAGTTTGGCAAAGTCCGATCGGACAAAACATCGATCACTGTGGCGCATCCCTTTGGGCAATTTTCATGCGTCAAATTTTCGATACGCATTTTTTTTTATAAAAATTATTTTATAATTTTTGTAACAAATAAATTATGGAAAAAAGAAGTTTTTAAATAATTTATTTATTCACATTTTAAAATTTTTTATTTTTTTCAACAATTAAATAACAAGTAAAAAAATTACTTTTTGAACCCAAGTGAAAAATTTTTTTTAACTAAAAATCAAAAGAACATTTTTTGAACAGATTTTTTGTGTAAAAAAATTAAATTAAGTTAATTTTAACTATAAAAAATTTATTATAATTTTTTTAAGGTAGTAATATAGATACCACACGTGTCAAATGTTCCAAACAAAGCGGTATTTAATTTACTTAATTGATTTATTAAGATTAATAATAATAAAGTTAGCCGACATTTTTAATTTTGCTTAATTTATTAATTTATAACTAAAAAATATTTTTAAAAAATGGCACTTATAATTTTTTAAATTTTTAACAAATGAAAAAATTTTTTTGTAATAATTCTTTAATAAAAAAATCATAAAAATTTTTAGATGTCGGCTAACTTTATTTTCGTGAAAATTAAATTAGCCGACACTAAAAAATTTTTGATTTTTTTTTTTTAATTAAAAATTAGAACAAAAAATATTTCTAAAACAATTGCACGTATAATTTTTAAAATTTTCTACAAGTGGAATTTCTTCTTTTAATTTATTTCTAATAATTTTTTCAATAAAAAAAAAATTATAATAATTTTCAGATGTCGGCTAATTTAATTTTAATTTTAATTTTAATTTTTTTCCGGATTAACTTAAAAACTAAACTGTGAATTAATATAATAAATAAAATAAAGTAATAATTATTGATTGGGTGTAAGTAATAGAAACGGATCTGTCAACCCAGTGGGTGAGAAAAACCAAACGAGAAACGCAGTGGGTGTTCTTACGCGTAGTCGGATCTAAAATGGTGATTGATTCTATTCAGGTATTCAGCTGAATGACTCTGAAAAAGAGCTTTGCAATTAAACCATTAAGATTGCCCAGCGAAAGTTTAATTCTATTAAATAAATTAAAGGCATCCGCGACCTTATTTTGCAGTTGTGGATTGACGGTTCGCCGCTGACTGGAAACAAACAATAAATGTGTGATGGTTGGTTGTAGAGCGAAATAGTATGAATAGAATAAAAATATGTAGATGACAATGGCATCAAGACAGAAGATGAAACGGAGTAAATAGAAATATAGATGTCAAGAGAACAGGGCGAAACATCCACACTCCTGTACATTGTTTGCGGCTTGGAATCAATAAAAGCATAGCTTTAGGCTACGCTGGTCTCCATGACAACCGGAGAGTTATACTCCCTCTTGCTCCTCACCCTCCTCTTTTATACTCCAGTATATCTCTATATTCATCATCTATCTCATCTACCCTTGCTCTCGATTACCACTCAAAAGTTACCCACCATATTCTCAGCTCCAAACTTTTTTACTCCCTCAAATCTATCCTTTTCTTCTTCTCAATCGATCCATCGATCTCTCAAATCTCTCAATCATCCAAGCTAATTTTTAAAATTAATTTTTCTATGATTTTAACAGACATTTAAAAATTTTTTTTCATCAATTAAATTAGTACTAAAAATTCTAGGCATTGTTTTTTAAATTTTCTACATGTGGAATTTTTTTATAATAAATTTTTTTAATAAGAAAAATTATAAAAATTGTCAGATGTCTGCTAATTTTATTTCTATATTTTTCTAATGAAGATTAATTTAACATATATTTAATCATTTTTTAAAAAAATCAATTGGCTAAAAAAATTGACGTAGAAATTTTAAAAAATAATTTTTTCGACCAAATTAATATTAAAATTTTTAAAAATAAATCAATCACTAAAAAGTTCCTTATAAAAATATTTATTTATTTTTACAGATTTTAACAGACATTTAAAAACTTTTTTTTATTAATTAAATTAGAACTAAAAAATTCCATGCATTGTTTTTTAAATTTTCTAAATGTGGAATTTAAAAAAAATTTTTTTATAATAAATTTTTTAATAAGAAAAATTCTAAAAATTGTTAGATGTTTGCTAATTTTATTTCCATATTTTTCTAATGAGAATTCAACAGATATTCAATAATTTTTTTAAAAAATAAATTATGGCAAAAAAAATTGACGTAAAAATTAAAAAAAAAAATGTAATTTTTTGGACGAAATATTGAAAATTTTAATAATAAATCAATTACACTAAAAAAATTTATAATATCTGCCATGAAAATTAAGTTAGCCGACATCTAAAAATTTTTAGAATTTTTTTATATGAAAAAAACTATTACAAAATAATTAAAAAAAATTTTCGTTTGTAAAAAACTGAAAGTCCAATTTTTTAAAAATAGTTTTTAGTTGTAATTTAATAATTAAAAAAAAAAAATTAAAAATATCGGCTAACTTTATTATTTAATATCTGTCAATATAATTTCAATTGTCTTATTATTATTTTTTTAAAGAAAATTAAAGATTGTAATTGGAAGATTTATTGTTTCAGACTTGATGAATTTTTTTTTTCTCGAAAAAAAAATTGATAAATAAATTCAAGCGATCCTAAATCAAAAAAATGTAACAAACACCCGCGCTAGTTAAATTTTGCGCGCAGGATCACATTCACGCAGGTCCCAGAAGTAAAAACGTCGATAATCGCTCGCGCGTGCGAGTCAACGAGTATTGTAGAAAATAGCCGGGTAAACACATCGACATAGGTAACCCTGGATGATATTGTGACTTAAAATTCGAGTATTTATTCCCATCAGTATCAGTTTCACCAGATGAACCAAGGAAAACCGGTCACTAAAATATGGGGTAATTATTTTCATTGTTTTCACAATTATTTCCATTCAACCTGTAATTTAAATGAAGCTTTATTAATTTGTTTATTTCATTTTTAGATATTTTATTAAAAATAAAATTGTAAATCTTTATAATAGAATGTAAACGGTAATATGTATATAATATATAAAAATGGTAATAAAGTATGTATGATGTTTGAGGAAAATGAGTTGCGTATGTATAATCAGAGTGTGGTTTGCTTTGGGATCAAGGGATGAAGAGATGAAAAATAAAAAAACTCACTCCATAGAGAAGAGCAAGCGCCGATGGAAGGACGATAGTCACGGGGATGAGATCAAGCGCCGCTGGGTTATTTAAAATTCATCTACAATCATAGTATCGTATTACCGCTCTACTACTATTCCCTTGAATCTGTTTACAGCCTGAACGGAATAATTAAATATTAATTATCGAGGATTTTAAATTATTTTTAGGACAAAAAAAAAGAAGAAATAATATTTTATTAAATTAAACTTAATCATTTTTTAACAAACAAATTTGTTCCAAAAATTTATTTTTAAAAAATTGCATTATTAATTTCTTCAAATTTTTTTTGTCATAATTTATTTGTTAAAAAAATTATCAAGAATATGATGAATTAATTTTTATCAATATATAAAATTAAAATTAACAGTCGATTATTTTTTTATTTTATTTAACAAATAAATTAGTTCCAAAAAATTGCATTTTTTTATTTCTTCAAATTTTTACATGTCAATTTTTTTTTTGTCATAATTTATTTGTTAAAAAATTTATCAAAAATATGATAAATAAATTTTTAATTAAAATTAGCAGTTGATAATTTTTTAATTTTATTTAACTTAGAAATTTGTGTCCAAAAAATAGCATTTTTTATTTCTTAAAATTTTTACATGTCAATTTATTTGTTAAAAAAAATTCTTAAAATTTCCAAATATCTGATAAATGAATTTTCATCAATATTTATCGAGTACCGAAAAGTAAAATTTTAGGTAAGTTTGAAACTCTTTGTCTGACAGGTTGAAAAATCAGTAGAATCCCCTCGCTGGTTTTCTTCTGTCAATCTCCCCGAGTTGAATGAACCAAATGATATAAATTATTTATGGATTTCGACACTCCCAGGTCGTTGGAGGGTGGCCAGATCTCACTCGAATTTCGCGTGCTCGACTACGGGGTGCTAGTTGTACCACAGGGGTCCACTTGCAGTACGTGATAGCCCAAAGTTTCCTGATGAGAGAAAGTGAGAGCAGATCCTTGGGGAGACGCACTCAACATATGCATTCCCGGTCCACTGAAGCCTGCTAAGCTTGTAAAATTGATTCCTAAGTACCCCGACTCAATCCTGTCCAAATCACCTACTACTTTGACACCTACTTTGTTCATCATAATTTTTAATTAACATCGCCAGATGTTAATTACTCTTTACTGAAATTTTTAAAAATATTCACTCATTTTTTTAAACTCGAAAAAAAGTGTCAAATTTTTGCGACTATTCCAGGGACAAAAGGAAAAATCTAGCCAGACCCCCGGCTGTCACCAATCTAAATCAATGGGCTTGTGGGTAATCGCATAATAATTACCGTAGGCCCCCCAAAGTCCCATCTGTCGATGGCCAGGGGGGCGTTTTGATGTTCTACATCTACATATACTTTATACTAGTCTAAATTTCCACCCCACCCTTGATTTCGAGTACTCCCGCGTTTCTTCTACCAGCAGGTTAAACTATTGTTGTTGTTGTTATTATTATTATTTACATTTGTACTTTTAATAAAATTATTTATTTTTCAGCCTTGAGATACTGATATTCTTTGCTGCGTATTTGGAATCCTCGACGGGCTTCCGAGGGCCTCATCATCCCAAAAGTTCTGTTTCTCATCATCATTATACTCCGCAGGGTGATATTAAACTGACTCAGGACTCGGAACTTCTTCATGACACTGCGTAATTATTTTTTTATTATTTCTTCAGATGACGAAGATGATAAGACAATTTTATTGATGGAAAATTTTGGATTATTTTTAGGCATTTAGTTGAAGACATGGGTACTGATTATGCTGGATTGTCTTTGGACACGATGAGCGAAGATGAAATAGAATTTTATTTCTTCAAGTAAATTATTTATCATTATTATTATTATTATTTTTTTTACAATAATAAATACTGACTTAGTCAATAATTTTTTTTTAAATGATATAATTATAGTCTTCTTGAAAATTTTATATTCTAATCTAATGAAATTATTATTATTATTATTATTATTATTATTATTATTGGTTTTTTTTTTACAATAATAATTACTTACTTAGTCAATAAATTTTTTTGGCTACAATAATTGTAGTCTTCTCAAAAATTTTATATTCTGATCTAATGAAATTATTATTATTATTATTTTTACAATAATAATTACTGAGCTAGTCAATAATTTTTTTCAATGAAATAATTATAGTCTTGAAAATTTTATATTTTAATCTAAAAAAAATAATTATACTTTATATTTCTAATGATACTAATTGACTGTAATTATTTTTAGGATGCACGATAAAGACAACAATACAAAACTGGACGGCCTGGAGATACTCCACGCTCTGCAACACACATATCACACAGAAGAAGACTATAACGAAGTAGACGACTATAGCCAAGTGGACAAGATCCCCATGATCATTAAAATGGTAGACAGAGTCTTAGAAGAAGACGATCTAGACAACGACGGATACATCGAGTACTTTGAGTACGTTCTAGCGAAAGAGAAAAAAAATAGCAGCGAGAAGAGCACCACTCTGGAATCCTTGAACTTGCAATAAGGAATAGGTTTATACAATAAATTTTTGACGAATTATAAATAAACGAGTATATTTTTAAAGTAATAGTTTTTAATTATTAAAAAAATTTTTATATGCGATATATTTATAACGTCTATTGCTTGGTATATATACATTTATATCCTACTGAAGTTTTACTCGATTACTGGAAGCGGTTGGTCTGTTACTACGATACATTTTTCCCAGAGATCTCGGGCAACTTGGACCTGAAAGTAAACAAAATTTATTCTATATTATTAAGAAAATAAGCAAAATTTTGTGACCAGTGTATTTATATGATGAAATGGATTTTTATAGTTAAATTTGATATCATTAGTAAGTGCAATTTAACAAATATCTTGTGAAATATTGACGTTTTTTAAGATATAAGCTCACGCCGACATTATACTCATCAAGACCTTTCATTTGAGTACCCACATCAATTTTTCATATATTTCATATATATATATATATATATATGTATATATCAAAAATATATCAAAAATGCATCAGGGTACTCAAATGAAAGCTCTCGATGAGTGTAACATCGGGATGAGCTTATATCTTTAAAAACGTCAATAGTTAAAAAAGTACAGTGCAATTTAACAAAATTCATTATTCATTAAACCAAAATTTTATTTATTTATTTATAGCTCACAAATCACGGCAGTCACATAGTGACTGCAAGGTTGCTAGTTATAAATAATTTAGTAGTTGTACTTGTTGATAATAATTATCAGTTTAAAATTTAATGGTATACACATGGATGAAATAATTATTTGTCCGCAATAAAATTAAACTATAATTGAAAAATTCGTTTAATAAATAAATTTTTAATAAGAAAATTTTTAATTTATTAAAATAAATAAAATAAAAAAAAAATACCTTGTTATCTTCTCCATCGATAGGCAAATCATCCACCTTAATAAACTCAGGATACATCAGAATAATTTTTTTAATAGCCGGAACTAAATTTTCTCCAACTTCCAAAAACTGTTGCTCGTACTCATGATACTCTTTAGAATTTTCCGACGAGTAATAAAGCTTAAAACAATTGTCTTCTTCAACAAGCCTAGCACAGTGAGCCCTGGTCAACCTGATCCTCGTATCAGGTTCAATCTCGACCCTGTTTTCTATCCTACCATCCTCGACCATGACCTCACCATCTCTCAAAGCCGAGCACTCCAACTCCGTGGGAGTCAAAACGGGAGGCAAGCAGTCATAAATATGTCCCTTGGCCATTTGGTCCGCAGCAGCATCAACGTCAATCATGTCAATCACCTTGTGCAGCAATTCTTTGGTCGTCTCAACGAATTTCCTGCGGAACTCATTGTCCTTAGACTTGCTGCCGTTCACCTTGTGCACCAGCCCAATATTATTCAAGTAGCCCAGCGGCAATCCTTCCCTCAGCTGCGAATTTTGAGAGATCGCGCTGCTCAGAGCAGCTGGGACCAACTTCTCCAAGAAATCCGCCCAGCAGTTCTTCTGGTAGACACTCAACGTCAAGTGCAGACTGTGGCTCTCTTCCAGGGTCTCTCCCTGGTGAATAGTGCCTCTAGGAAAGTATAGAATGTCTCCGGCATTCAGTATCACATCTAAAATCGGCTCGCCGATTTCTTCTTGGTTAAAATTCTCCGAGGATAATCTCGGTAAAAATTCTTCTTCGTTCCTCGGCTTGTACAGCCGCCAGCGCTTCTTTCCCTCCACCTGGAGGATGAACGCCTCGATGTCGTCGTAGTGTGGAGCGAATCCTTGACTTCCTGGGGGAGTTAAGTAAAAATTAGCCCCGACAAAACACCCGAAAAATTCCTGCAGTGTTGAATTTAACGTGTGAATCTTTGGAATGAACGTCTGAGGGTTCAGCATTCTGATGGAGCACCCGTTGGAGTAGTAATCCCAGACCACGCTGGGCAAAGCGCGTCCTGGAGGATTATGAGTCTCTCTCTGGCCGTCAGAGTACGAGGTAATGTCTAAGTTTTTGGTGAACAAGACGTTAAATTTACGCAGCACGTCGTCGATCATCGGAGTTGATAATAAAATCTTGTAGTAATTCTTCTTGTTTCTCTGGATTTGAAGCGGGGCTTTTTCCCAGTTTATTTTGAAGAACTTGTCGATTGACAGAGGGTGAATCAGCCACTCGAATAATGTCTGGGTCTCTTTTGTCGGGTCTATAAAATTTTTGTTGGATTCTTCTGGGGGAATTTCTACTACTGGCACGCTTTTCGGGAGTTTTATTGAACTTTGTTTGTCTTTTTGTAATTTTTTTATTCCTTTCACCAACAACTTTTTGGTTTTTACTTTTTTTGACAAAGCGGTCACTTGTTTCAGTGACTTTTCAGACACTTTTACCAGTTTTTTACCTTGGATTAATTTTACTTTTGGATCGTCTATGTCAAAAGACTTGCCATTGATATTTTTAAATTCAGGCTTTTTTTTTAACTTCGGAAGATTTTCTTCTGTACTCTTGCGCTTCTTCGAGTACATTGCAAAAGCCGAAACACGTCCGTCGGGACTCGCCATCTGAAAATAGAAATTAAGGTAGTAGATATTTGATAATTATAATAATAAAGTTAATAATTATCAATTTATAACTAAAAAATATTTTTTTTTAATTGCACTTATAATTTTTGGAGTTTTTAACAAATGAAAAAATTTTTTTTTAATAATTCTTTAATAAAAAAAATCATTTAAATTTTCACATGTTGGCTAACTTTATTTTCATTTAATAATTTTAAGAAATAAATGTAGTGCAAAAAAATTATTTTAAAAAAATTGACTTGTAAAAATTATAAAAAATTAAAGTGCAATTTTCTTAAAATAATTTTTTGGAAGAAATTTTTTTTGTTAAATAAAATTAAAAAATTGTTAATTTTACTGTCAGCATCTGAAATTAAAGGTTATGTATCACTTGCAAGTTAAAAAAAAAATTATTAAAATTAAATTATTAGCCGGTTGAAAGTTTTTAGAATTTTACTTTAATTGAAAAAAATTTGTTAAAAAAAAATTGACATGTAGAAAATTTTATTAATTCTAAGTGCAATTTTTTGCATGTCAATTTTTAAAAATTAATTTTTATTAAAAATAAATCAAAAATTGTCAAATGTCTGCTAATTTTGATATCATTTTAAAATTTACAAAAATAAGTAAGGAAATTTTTTTAATATTAATTATAACTTATTAATTTTATAGTAAAAATAAATAAATAAATTAGAAGACTTACTTGATTTATTTATGAATATCAACAAACAGCGTGGACAGGAGAATCTGAGTAAACTGAGTAAAGGCTGTATGATAGGTTAATTTAAATAAAAATAGTGAAATTTGATTGGTCGAGAGCGGTGTTCTCTTGGAAACAGCCTTGAAAGTGTAAACAAATATGACTGATGCTGCTCTCTATGGACACTATTGTTATTCTCTGTATTTTTAGATTTTTTTTATTATTATTTATTTATTATGTATCAAATCTTAATGTCTAATATTTATTAAAGTGAAGTTTAATTATTTTTATTAGTTTGTTGACTATTGACAGTGATTTTCATGATGCACAGGAACAATGTCAGTAGAGTGATCATTTTCTGTGATAAAAATTGAATTATTTTTATTTTTTTTTAGGCAAATGTCACTGAGAGGAGACTTCAAAGAGATCCGGTGGCTGTGGAAAATAATGCCAATCCCCAAATCAATAATAATTTAAGACATTTGTCACCTACGATTATTGAACAATTAAAAAAGTCTTGGCTGACTGCAATTATTGGTTGTATTTTGTGTGCTGTTGGCACTTGTTTACTTTTTTGGAATGAGGTAATTTATTTATTAAATTTTTATCAGAAGACAATTGATAATTTTATATTTTTATTTAAAAAATGAATTAATAGTAGGAAAATTTTCTTAAAAAATTGTACTTTTAATTTTTATAAATCTTTAAAAGTGGAATTTAAAAAAAAAAAATTTTAATATTTGCTGTCAGTTTCATAATTTATTTAAAATTATTCTTAGATAAATAATTAGGAAATGACTTTGTATCTTATGAATTATTGACATTTTTAAAGATATAAGCTCATCCTGATTTTACACTCATCAAGACCTTTCATTTGAGTACCCACATCCATTTTTCATATATTTCATATATTTATATATTATATATATATATATATGTATATATGAAAAATGGTTCTGTAACAGTTCAACCGAAGAACAATTCAACCGCAAGACAATTCAACCGATGACAGTTTAATTGCAGTTTTCCTGATAAATTGATCACAAAATCCATGATAATAGGGCACAATAATCATTTTTTTATTTTTAAAATACTGCGAAAAAAACTTTATAATTGTGATTATTAGTATTATTATTATTACATATCTTGAAATGCAACAAAAACTACATTTCTGACCGTTTTTTATATATTTAAAAACGAAATAACGAATATACAGTAATGTTAGATGACGATTAATTTAAATAATATCATGATAAATTACAACGACAAAACAGACGCAATATCATGAAGATACTTCAATTTATTTTTAGATTTATAGTCAGCAACGATATTATGAACACAAACGCGGGTAATCGTGTTGCGCCCTTTTAACATGGTTTTTGTGTGTATTTATTCGACATTAGACCAACACAAATGCGGGTAATCGTGTTGCGCCTTTTTAACATGGTTTTTGTGTGTTTACTCAGTAATAGGCAATTATAAACGCGGGTAATCATGTTGCGCCCTTTAAACATGGTTTTTATGTGTGTTTATTCGACATTAAACCAACACAGAAGCTTGTTACCGTGTTAGGCCCATTTATCATGGATTTTGTCATCAATTTATCAGAAAAACTGCAGTTAAACTGTCATCGGTTGAATTGTCCTTCGGTTGAAAAGTCGTCGGTTGAAATGTCGCGGTTGAACTGTCGCGGTTGAAATGTCCGCGGTTGAACTGTTACAGAACCATTTTTCATATATACATATATATATATATATAATATACCCACATCAGTTTTTCATATATTTTATATATTTATATATATGTATATATGAAAAATATATCAAAAATACATGTGGGTACTCAAATGAAAGCTCTTGATGAATGTAATATCAGGATGAGCTTATATCTTTAAAAAGGTCAATAGTTAAAAAAGTACAGTGCAATTTAACAAAAATCATTATCTATTAAAAAAATTATTAATTATCTACTAAATTAATTTCAATAGAAGAATATTGATAAAGTTATAAAAAAAAACTATTTTTGTTAATAATAAATATTTAATTAATTTTTAACATTATTTAGGGCAGAGCAGCATCAGTAGCGCAATCATTAAATGAAGCATTGGAGCAGGTAGCAATAATCGATGACCTCTGGTCAATCCCAACAGAATACGAAGGCCGGTTAGTCCATATTTCCGGGCAACTATGGATCGACGAGCCTCTAACCGAGCCAGACTACGGAGTGATAATCGAGAGCGTAAAATTAAAACGAAGAGTGCAGGTCTACCAATGGATTGAGATCGAAGAAGATCGCGTGTACGGTGGAGAAGTCCAGGAAGACAAGAATTACTACTACACGACCGAGTGGAAAGACAAACTTGTTGATTCAGATCAGTTTTACATTCGAACTGGACACGAGAATCCCAAACAAGTGCCAATTAAAAGTCAAATCCAAATCGCGAACCAAGTTAAAATCGGCTCTGTAGCTTTGGGACTTGAGCTAAAGAAAAAATTTACTGATTTCATTGAAATAACCAGCGATCAGCGGCCTGAGAGGACTGATATTAAAATGCATGCTGGTCTGTACTATCACAGCGCTGATTTATGGAACCCGCGGGTCGGAGACATCAGGATACTGTTTTCTTACGCAGGAAAAGCTGGAGAAGTCTACACGGTTGTTGGTAAATTAATAGATGGAACTATTGTTCCATTTGTCACCTCCCAGGGTGATGAAATTTTGCTGCAAAGGAAACACCAGATTACTGTCGACAGAATGTTTCATTTGGAGCATGTTCATAATTATTGGCGTACTTGGGTGATCAGGTAATTTATATTTTTAATTGTTAGTCAAAAGTTTTACTTAAAATTTAATTTTTCTCTCAATACTTTTAGAATATAATAATTTATATAAATTCTTTCAGAGCTCTCGGATGGCTGATTTTATTCGCATCGGCGACTTGTCTAGCGAACATTCTCCGGATATTGATCCAAAATTCTTCGTTCCTCTGCGGAATAATTGCAATTGACTCATTAACAATATCAGTATCAATGTCAATAAGTCTTTTGATTATTGGATTCGCCTGGATGTGGTATCGGCCCGTCGTTGCTTTATGTCTCGCATTTGCGGCAGTACTTCCATTTTTGTACTCTTATGTATCTCCAAATCAACAGCGAGATGATTATAGGAGAATATAGCTGTAATTTAGTTAATTTTATTTATTTATATGATACTGAAATCAATTGACATCAATTTAATGTCATAAAATTAACAATTGTAATTTTTTTTTAATTTTTAGATGTGGAATTTTTTCATTTAAATTTTTTCACAATAATTTTTATCCATGACAAAAATTAATTTAGCCATTTTTAAGAATTTTTTTAACAAATAAATTATGGCAAAAAAGTTGAAATTTTAAGAAATTAAAAATGCAATTTTTTTTTTTTAATTTTTCAAAACAAATTTGTCAAAAAAAAATTAAAAAATGGTTAAAACTACTAACTTAATTAATGTATTTATTTATTTATTTAATTAGTGTGTCTGCGCCTGGATTTGATTATCAAAATAAGATGTAGAAATCTGTAAATAAATTTGCTAAAATAGAATTCTACTGTACCTTTAAAAAAATTAATATTTTCTGACCAATTGACGGTAGTTCAAATTAATTTCCACTCGCCCGCTCATTTGATTGGCCCGCGCTCAAGAATTGAATTTTTATTGGTTAGGTAATTTTAACTAAGAGAATAAACGCAAAATGGCGCTGTTAATCGTATGCTGTCACCAGGAAGTGGTGGCCTCTACAAGAGAAATCGTCAGTGTACACAACAAAATAAAGATAAAAGTGTTCTAGAAATGTAAAATCAGTGTATAAAATGCACCGAGAGTAGTGTATTGTATTGTATTTGTATATATGTATACATATGTGTATTTTAAAATTATTTTATTATAAAATGATAATTATTTATCAGTGAAATTTTTAAACTTTTTTTAACAACTTTAAATGATTTATTTTTAAATTCTTGTGCAATATTTATTATCATAATAATGATAATAAAAAAAGTAATAGTGATAATGAAATTGTAAACATTGTTTATTTTTTTTTTTTTTTTTTTTTCGGGTTAATTATCAATCCGCGAATAAGTATGAAAATGGCCCAAGAATTAAATGAAATAAATCTAACTCACCAGGAGTTGCAAATTCTTTCGGAGTTAGACAGGTAACTTGCATGAAAAAAATGTTTTTTTTTTTTTATTTTGATCCACTTTTTTAATCTAACCTCCTGACCCCTTTTCCCACCCAACAATTCCTTGTTGTTTTTTATTTTAATTTTCGACTTTTACTGTCAATTTTTTATCATTAATTAATACCTCCTTGATAAAAAAATTAGTATTAAATTAAATGTATATATTTCAGCCGGCAGTTTGGGCTTCTCAAGTTAAACCAACCGGAACATGCCAAAAAAAAGGCATTGGTTGTGAAAGCTATCAAGTATCTGGAGAAGATGCTGATACAGGCCCAAGCTGAGCAGACTAAAAAACGGAAAAGAAAAGCCGACTGTCTAGATGATGAAAATTATAAAGATAAATTTGATGATGAGGATAAAGGAATTAGCATAGATCCTAAAACATATTGCAAATTGGGCCATTTTCATTTACTTCTTGAAGATTATAGCAAAGGTTTGTTATTATTATTTAATAATTTATTATTATTATGAAAATGAAGTTAGTTGACATTTCGAAATTTTTTATTGAAAAAATTTCAATTAAACAATTAAAAAAAAAATTTCACATATAAAAAACTTGAAAAACTACAAGTGCAATTTTTTAAAAATATCTTTTTACTTGTAATTTAATTAATAAAAATAATCAAAAATTTTTAGACATCTGCTAACTTCAGTGTCATTTATTATTAATACAATTTTATTTTTTTTATAAATTTTAATATTTATTTAATTGTAGCCATGTCAGCGTACCAGAAGTTTTTCAAGTTAAAAGCCGACTACTGGAAGGACCCTTGTTTTCTTTTCGGACAAGGACTTTGTTATTATCACTTCAATGCCTACCAGTGGTGAGTTTTTTTTTTTTTTTTTTTTATTATTTTTACATTTATTAATTAAAGAATTCAGTAATTCAAAGCCAACCTTCCCGAGCCAAATTTTAGATATATTTCAAAATTTTATTAATTTATACCACAATGTTTTGTCATAAGCACTCAGACATCCTCAGGTGAAACTACAAATTAATTTTTACAAACTTTTAACATAGAGTTTGAATGTTAATAACAGTTAAATTTTTTTTATAAATTCTTACCTAATATAATTTAAATTAAATTAATTAGGAATAATTAGAAATTTATATTTATTCATACACAAAAAATCATTTTTTTAATTTAAAAAAAAATTGGTTAATAATTGACAAGTAAGTACTGTATATTTTTAATGTGAAGAATTTTTTCCTTAGAAAATTTTTTATGTAGTAATTCATTAGCAGAATTAAATTTTTTTATTTAAATAATTCGACTTTTAATAGAATTTTTTTATATAATTAATTAATAATTAAGCGAGCGTGGTGACGTCGACAATAAAGATATCTCTTGAACCTCAAGCAGCTAAAAAGGAGTTTAAAACTCGAGCGCTAGATGTCGATAGGAAGAGAAATGTAGGACTGGTGTACGTGCAAACTAGAAGCTGGTGCATGGCGACAAAATAATCGAATAAATGACCTGACAATCGATTTACAAACAAAAATAAACTGCTGTAATAAAAAAGTAATTACAGTTGTGAGAGATAAAGGCTCTCTATTGAATCGAACTAAAACATTAGCAAGATAACTGAAATGACTTTTATCTAAAAAAGTATTCTATAAATACAGTACTGCTTTTTAAACCGAGCAGTCATTGATCTTGGGTTTGATTTTTTTAATTATTTTATCATAAATTCTTTCTTCAGCTGCTTCTTCTCTTTCTTCTTTTTGGTCGACTTGATCTTGTTCTATTTTATTAAATGTTTCTCATTCCTTTTATTTTTATTCTGTATATTTATATTCCGGAGCCGCAAATGTACTTAAATAGAATTAAAAAATCCAGCGAGGTCTTAACTTTAGTTGAATTTAAAAGTTAAAATAATATTTAAAGCCGCAAAATGTGTTGCAAGTATGTCATTACTCATTACAATCTGTAATAATGATTAAATAATTGCATAATAGCGTGTGAAAGAGACTAAACAAACGGAAGGGATGAGAAAAGGAAGCATTTACTGTGGATCTTTCGCCATGGCTCGAGCGTGGTAGGTCACGTACACGTCGTTGGTGCCGAGGGAGAGCGAGTGAGAGTTACCGAGACCGAGTGAATCCACTACACTGTTCTGCCACCGATCGATCCTCTTGCAAACTCTCTTGGGCTTCATTCTGAGTAACTACAAGTTCCGAGATCTTTTGCGACACCCTCCAATCATTATGACCTAAAATATCTCGCTCCAAAAAATCCGACCTGAAATTTAAGGATTTTAAATCTCCAGCATGGAAATCAGCAAAAAAAAAAATAGCAGGAATATTATTACTACTCACCTTAATATTAAAACTGCAATTACTTACCACGAGTACTCAATTAAATGTCATAAAAATACTAATGACAAAAATAATAGTAGAGTAACAAGCGACGTAATGTACAACGTCAAGCGCTGTAATACGTCATCGCATAAGAGTCTTTTGTGACCTACATTCATCGATCAATATTCTTCGACCTACATAACATTTTTTTTACTACACACATATGTTTATTGTATTGTAATAAACACATGTAGCGCGCTTACATGTCTAAATATGTACATGAAACGTCTAGTTGTATCAGTTTAATACAACTAGAACGGCATAGATGAACTTTTGTTACTTTCGATCTATGCAATCATCAATCTTCACTTTCTTTGGCATTTATCTAGAAAGCTAGATTTTATTTTAAAATAATTATCAAGACATATGAATGTATATTGTTTGTCGAGGTCATGGTCAGTCGTTGTGCGGAAACTGAGAGTCAATAAACTCTATACTATCCCGAGTTTCATGCTGGAAAAAATTGCTGGTATCAGGTGTAGTGCTAAAGTTTTTTTCTTTTTATAAAAAATCAAAATTTAAATCAGGTAAAAAAATTTTTTTAATTAATTAAAAATATTTAAACTTACATTTTTTTTCAGATAAAAAATTATCAATAATAATTTGTATGTCAAAATTAAGTAAATAATTTTGAAGAATTTCATCTTCTTGATTTGAGTAGAAAAATTCTTAAACTAAGAAATGTTTCTTGTTGATTCAAGACAATGAAACTCTTCAAAATCATTTTCTTGGTTCAAGAATTTTCATCTTGATTCAAGTTATATTTTTTTTTAGCTTAAGATCATAATAACAAATTACATTATTATTTCTGCGACGTTTTGGTCGTTTATTAGACTTTTCTCAGTCATCTGAAAATTACACATGTTAATAACCAACAAAATAACATAACAATTGCTACAATTACAATATTTACCATAATACGAGTTCTAACAATCACTATCTTACATTGGACAGTTGTATAAATCATCACAAAATTGATAGATGTTTTTTTTCCTATCTTGTCCACATTCCTGATATACAAATAATTATTGATAATTATAGACGATAATATTATTAACATAAAAAATTATTTTCAGAAAAAAAATTACCCGTGGATCTTGAATGAAAAATTTTTTGGATCATCAAAATAATTCCCAGGTTGATTTTAATCAAAGTTAGTAGCTTAGCTGGTAGTCCTGTAAATGAAGTAGTTAATATTAATATATAATAGAATTAAAATTACAATAGCTATTTAAAGTTTATTACGGTAAACTAATTACCGTGTGAAGGGAGAATAATTGGGAGTGTGAATTGTTTAGTAAAATAATCGTCGGCACCTGGAAGTGCATCTAATATAACCAGAGAGAAATTTACGGTGTGGATAGCAGAGTACAGAGGAGAGACCAGATAACAGAGAAGAGATTCAGCGTACACGTTTTCTCTAGTGTGACGTCACCGTGTAGCGGGGCCAGCGTCGCATCAGTTGAACGTAACGTGGGCGATGGCGAGAGTAACATACACGGCGTAGTCATCGTGACGTCACATCAGCGTCCCGACGCAGGTCGCGGGAATATAAGCGAAGATAACAACAAAAGTTGTTGTGTGTGCGTTTTAATGCACCAAGATCGAAGATAGAGATAAAATGATACGCTGATAATATGACGAGCACAAGGAATAGAAGGAGATGCTACGTCGACGAGCCTGCTATGCACCGAGCACTCAGCTATGCTCCGGTGTAGTCTGTATGTATTGGGGTTCAACGACCTGCCGTTCAGAGTTCAATACACCGCGTAGTCGTGATGCCTGTACACACTCAATGCTTATGTTTACACTTGCTCGTGGTCTTCATCTGTCCAGAGTCACATCCAGGAGCATGGACCATCCCCAGGGCCTGCTTCAGTTTAGTTTTCATTTTCATCTTCTGGTTCACTAGAAAATTTACTTCTTTTTTTATTTATAACTTTCTATTTATATCTCACCGGAGAACTCATGTGCTTGCACATTGTTGTTGTTGTTGTTGTTACTGAACTCTCATTTTATTGCAGAGGGATTTAAATGTCCGGTAAATTCTGGTCTTGGTGCGCAACAACATCACCAAAAATTCTTTAAATATCCGATGGCTATATTGATTACATTCGAGTCAACGACTTTGGTGATTAATGCTTCTGTTTATTTTTAGGGAGCAATGAATTGTTGATAGTGAAATAATGTACTTTATTTCAGTGGACTTGTTAATTAATAATAATGATAAAAATTAGCTTATAATTTTTATTATCTTATCATGTGTTTTAATGGAAAATTTTTTTCAAGATTATTTTTCTTTGAGATTTTTTATTTTAATGCGTAGGTTATTTAATTTCAATTATTTCATTTGTAAGAAGGAAATATATGACACTGAAGTTAGCAGGCTCCTAAAAATTTTTGATTCTTTTTATTAATTAAATTATAACTAAAAAGATATTTTTAAAAAATTGCACTTACAGCTTTTCAAGTTTTTTACATGTGCAATTTTTTTTTTTTAATTTTTTAATTGAAATTTTTTCAATAAAAAATTTCTAAAAATTTTGAAATGGCTAACTTCATTTTCATAGAAAATATATCTTCTTTGATGTATATGCTAACAGCTTTTATAGCTTATAAATATTTTTTTTAAAAATTTGATTTTTAATTTAATAAAACAATTTTTTATTTAAAAAACTCAAATTGTCATTGAAAGATATTAAGCCATAAAATTTCCAAAGATCCTGAGTTGTTAAAAAATAGCCAGTGATTTAAAATTCTGACACAAGAGCCATAAAATTGGATTTCTTTTTACAATCTTGGTAATTCTGTCCCTGCCTAAAAAAAAAAAGTGTATTTTAGCATCTCCAAAAAAAATATTTATATCTTCAAGCTTAAATTTATTTTCTAAAATTTTTCATGCTTGTATCACGTCCAAAAATCTCACGAGTGACCTTGAAAAAAAATTACTTAATTATAGAGAATAATAAAAAAAAATCCATAAATAGTGGTTACGCATGACCCACGAAACCTTTTTCGCATCTAAAACATTTCTTCTCATGTCAAAGTGTCCCATGGCAACAGGAATTTATCTGAAAAAAAAAAAAAAAAAAAAAAAAAAAAAAAACTCAGCAAAATAATTAAAAAACACAACTAATCTCAAAACTACCTTCTATTCTTGGAGCAGAATTGGTGGTACCTATCAGTGAAGGCAATGACAATGAAAGTTTGATTAAAAGTTATGAGTGAAAATTCCGTGAGCCGTATTGTCAACGGTGGTACATCGGGCGGTGGCTTTAATATAACTTGCGTGGAGCACAAGACAGGATGGTAAATACTACATGAGCTAGCAATAGTATTTGTGTGTGCTCTACCCACACATTCATACCTTAACTGCCAGAGCTGGCTCTATAGTACTATGCTACAAGTACCAGTACTAAACATCATAGGTGTGTTGGTGCAGTAAATATAAAGAAGAAGAAGGAAG